CTTCATTTTCCACCTTCACTTATGCTGTTTGTTCCTACCAGAATGTATTCTTTCTCTCAGCATTATCTATTGAGCACCTCCAGCAATGTGGCAGACACTCTTCTAAGCACTTGCTATTATTATCTCCTAGCAGAAAGGAAAGGAACATTAAAGAAACTCAGAGCTAAATTCCTATAACTACATGTCTAATACTATGTGCCAAATGCAATAATGGTTACTCATGGCGGACAGTGTTTGGTCGGGTTCCCGAATAAACAAGCTTGGAAGCAGCAGTGGCATCCACTTCTGAAATGGCTTGACTGTTGAAATACTATGAACAGTGCTCAGGTCTTTTGTTCATAGGGTCACAATGAATTGTCTATAACTTGACAGCACTTAATAACAATAACAACAACAATATAGATAGAGCTGCCTTGGCCTAGTGAACAGAAAGTTATGCTACCAAACCCAAGGTGGATGATTTTAATCTATGGCCCTCAGGCCTGGTTTAAACTGTTTTTGGTCAAACATTCTTCTATGTGGTATAGAACTGGTCTGTGCATTGCTGTACAGAGGAAACTGTTTGCTGTCTTGCTAAACGCTGTGATGCTGATGTGCCAAATGTGATAATGGTTACCCATGGTAGACAGTGTTTGGTAGAGCTTCCTGATTAAAACAAGCTTGAAAGTTGGAGTGGCATCCACTTCTGAAATGACTTGCCTCTAGAAACTATGAACAGTTCTCAGGTGATTTTTTCATACGGTTGCTATTAATCTTCTATGACTTGACAGCACTTAACAACAACAAAATAGTTTTATTCCGGTTAGGTTCAAAATCTAAATGAAGTTCCTCCCAAGGCCTGTTCCTTGAACCTATGGAAATAAAGGGTGTCTTAAATTCTTTATCGCTTTGCACTTTCTAATTCAGTTCACTTATATCTCATTATAAAAAAAAAAACCAAACAACAACAACTATGACAGAAAAGGTTGGACAATGAATGAATGAAGATAATAGAAGATAATAAATGTCTTTGAGTTGAAAAAGAGTACTGAATATCTCATGTATTGCTAAAAGAAAAAACAAGTATATTCCAGAGAAAGTGCACCTAGAATTCTCCTTACAGGCAAGGATGGTGATGTCCCATCTGACATGTTTTGGACATCTTGTTGGGAGGTCTAGCTGTTGGAAAAGGACATCATGCTGGAAAAGGTGGATGGAGGAAGACAAGATGGATTGATACAGTGACTGTAACAATAGACTCCAGTACATCAGAGATGATGAGGAAAGGACAGGATAGGGCAAAGCTCAGGTCCATTGGTCATAGAGTTGCTTTGAGCCATAATTATCTCGTTGGTAATTACTAACTACAATAGAGATAAAAGAGGAGGAAGAGCCATAAAGGAGGAGACTTTCAGCACCACCAAGAATATATAACATAATAACCAAGAATACAAGACATCTTTTTTGACCTTAGGCCCTCTTCGATGAAGCTCCTTGACATCAGAGATGTCCAAGATACATACATCTCCTCAAAAAATAGTGCGACTATAGATGCTGAAGGAAGCAATCACTTTCTCCACAACCAACAAAGAGAGATCAGACCATCATCACCCTGAATTTGGACTTCTAACTACCTAAACTGTCAGAAGTGAGCTCTCGTGGCATAGTCATAGGGAGTTGTACTATGAGCACAAAGCCTGTGCCTCTCTAATGAATTGGATCTACCAGCAAACCCTTGGGAGAAAGATTGGCCCTCTCTTCTTCTATCTGAAGTCTCAGAAACCCAAAGGAGAGTCAGCTATGAGTCAGTACTGACTTGATGTTAGAGAGAGAGAGAGATGTTTCTGTTAATTGAAACCATCCACTTGTATCTATACTATAGAAGCACTAGTTAACTAATACTAACAAAGATAAGACACTTGACAAAATGGATTGAAACAGTAAATTAAAAAATGGTCTTGAGTATGACAGAGATTGTGAGGATCTTGCAGGATGGGGCAAGGTTTCAATCTGTTGTTCTTAGAGTCTGTGAGTCACCTTAAAGTTATTAACTTGAAGATGCCTAACAACAAACAGATAACACAATCCAGAAACATTCTGATTTTCCTTATTTTTTAATACATTCTTTATTTTACACTGGTTTACTTACAAAGTTCATATATACTGATTTTCACACCACATCTTTCCCGTTTCCTTTACCCACCCAACCCTCAACCCACGTAAGTGTGTGACCCTATGATTACCCCCTTGCCCATCCTCACCCCCATGCTCCTGCCGTACCGCCTTGGATGCTCATACATGTTTTACTAGTTATCCTTCTGTTTCTACAAGAAGGGGGTGTCATATAGGATTTGTCCTTGAGGACCGACATAGTTCACTTACTGTTTTGCCTTTTGCCATTCTTATTTCTGTTGCCACCATGTATCCACTATTGTTGCTTATTTTTCAACATCTCTCTGGTTGTATCGCTGTATTCTGGATCAAAGATGAGCTCGGTGCAGGGATCTGGGGCCCATAGAATGTGCTTTTCTTTCTTGATGGTAATGATTATCCTCTCCTTCACTTCTAGTATGTTCATTTCAATCATAATGGAATGACAAAATCGCCAACTTCCCATATTAGTGTTGATATACTCTAGCAACATGCCCAAAGTATCTGAGACTACGTTTTAACATCTTTGCCTACAAGGGGCAATCTGGCTACACCTTCTATAAGACATACTCTTTTGTCAGTCAGTGATAGATTCATTCCTCTTCTTCAACACCACACTTCTAAGTGGGAGGGGCTATTCCTTGAAAAGAGACCTCATTCTTGGAAAGGTGGAGAGTCAGTGAAGGAGACGGAAGATCTTCAATGAGATAGACTGACAAAGTGACTGCACCTATGGGTGCCAGGAATGGAGCATTCTTTGGGATTAGGCTCTGGTGTTTAAAACCTCCTCTCCCACGGGACAACTGATGCCAAGACATGTAGAGATCTCCAAGGGACATTGGGCCACTGCAAGAAGAAAAGGATATTCCTCCAGAGCTAACAGAGAAAGAAAACGTTCTTTTTTAAAAATTTCATTATTATTAATTTCAGTAAAAATTTACAAAACTGTGGATTTCCTTTTGTCTATTGTTGCACTTTTCTCCTCTCCCAACCCTTCCCCGTACTATGCTACCCCTTGGAAAAGTAAAAGAAAAATTCTTTCATTGTTTTACAAACCCTCCCCCAGGTCCACTCTACCATGTAGCCTTCACTCTAGACTCCTGTCATGACAAAAATACCTAATGACATATCCCTTTCAAAGAGTGTTCTTCCTCATTTGTTTCAATGCAGTAAACATTATTGGACCCATCTTTGTCAGTCTCTCCTCAATTCCAAGGTCAGTCCTGTTTTACAACAGTGGCACTATGCAGTATTTGTCCTTTTGTGACTGAGATATTTCACTCAGCATAATGTCCTCCAGAATCACCCATTCTGAATAATATTGCATACGTTCCTTTTTTTTCTACGCAGCCTAGTTTTCCATTGTGTGAATATACCACAGCTTCTCTATCCACTTGTTTGTTGATGGGCACTTAGGTTGTTTCCAACTCATTGTTATTGTGAACAAAGCCGCATTGAACATAGATGTTCATATATCTGCTTGGATGTCAGTTATGGTCTCTTTGGGGTATATTCCTAGTAGTGGAATTGCTGGGTCAAATGGTATTTCTATTTGTAACTATTTGAGAAAGCGCCATACCACCTTCCACAGTGGTTGTACTATTTTACACTCCCACCAACAGTACATAAGGGTTCTACTTTGTCCACAACCTCACCAGCATTTGTTGCTTGCTTTTCTGTTAAATTTTGCTATTCTGTCTGGGATGATGTGATATCTCAGAGTTGTTTTAAGAAAACATTCTTGAGCTGATACTCTAAATTTGGATTGATGGCTTTATAAACTGAAAGAATAAATGATTTCTTTAAACCATTCATTTAATAATAGCAGTATATAAGCTATATATTTTGATCTTATTTTTAAAAAATATTTTCAATTCTTTAGGCTCACCCTGTGATCCTACTTTCATTCTGGTCTGTGCACCCTGTAATGTGATTTGCTCAGTTGTTTTCCATCATCATTTTGATTATAAAGACCAGGATTTGCTTAACTTGATTGGAAAACTTGATGAAAATGCCAGCCTTCTAAGTTCACCATGGATACAGGTAAGGTCAAAACTGTTAATACCTGAAAATCATTTATGCTTAGTTCTCTGAGAAATGCAAAGTTCTATGTAGACAGAGCTAAAAAATTTTTTCAAAATCTTGTTTAGGGTTAGTTAAAGATTGAATTATGTTGCCTGAAAATAATGTAATATAAATTCTAGAACCTTTCTCAGACACCATTTTAAGTAAGTTTATCGTGCATAAATATCTCTTAAGATGTAAGAGCAATTAAACAACAAGCAAGTGTTCAAACAGGTGAAATAGAGAGATGCCAACCTACGAAGATATTGTCAGGAACAGAAACCCATACAGACAAGGGTCTTCCTACAGAGCTCATGTAGAAAGAAAGCATTTCCCTAGAGCTGGCTTCCTGAAACAGGACTTACGGCCTCCTAGCTAGTGAGAAAAGGGATTTCTCTTACAACCACACACTCATAGTATTTTGTTATAGCAGCACTACATAATTAAGACATGTTCATGAAATGAACATCACCAAAAGATGCTGCTGCTATTTCTTTTACATACTAGAAAATGACCCCTAGGGTATATATGTTTCCAAGCCAATGCGCTAGCTCCCCGTCCTGTCTTTTCCCCCCACTTTACCTCTAACCCAAGTACTCTGAGACTGTCAAAGAAGCATAGACAGAGTACTCAAAGGAGATCCAAAACCCTTGTTGAAAGGCTTTCATTGCACATGTAAAGGTGTTTCCAATCAATACCTATTGACCTCCTTCTCTGATTCCTCGTGAAAGTACTCTATGATAGGATATTAAGGAGTTAGGAGGTTGAAAGCTCAGACACTACCAGGAAGTGCTTATTAACAAAGGACTCTGATGCTTCAGCTGTGATTCCATAGATAATGTTTATTTGTTAGGGATGAAAAAACTATTCTAAATACAAAACATAGTTTTCCCTTTCACTAATCCGTTACAGTGTGGATGTGCTCTGTCTAAATGATAATTGCATGATCTGAAAGTATTCACTGACATGCTCTTTTGCATGGCATTTTATTGATGATATGCTAATTTAAAATCTATCTCAGTTCCATAATTCTATTGCTGATGGGGAAGAAGCAGTCTAACTAGTTTTGTTCTCCATATCAAGTTAACCTCTATTTTCATCACAAAATATGAACTGTGCCGATTTAGCCTGTGCTCTATTTCACAATCCATGTAAAATTAAAAGATTGGTATAAATAGAGTTCTATTTTTAAAAATCATGTAGAAAACCAGAAAATAATTGTTTTAATAATCATTGTTTTCTCCCTCTTTTTATAAACCTATAAAATTATAACAATAAAAGTATTCCCTTGAAGTTAGGGATTATAAACCAGTTCTATCTAGGGCTTGGCCTATGGCACATGTGAAAAACTTATTGAGTCAAATTCTTCTCTCCCTTAGGTCTGCAATGCTTTTCCTGTAATCCTTGATTATTTTCCTGGGAGTCATAAAAAAGTACTTGAGAATGTCAAGTATATGGAAGCCTTTTTTTTGGAGAAAGTTAAAGAACACCAAGACACTCTTGACATTAACAATCCTCGAGACTTCATTGATTGCTTCCTGATAAAAATGGAACAGGTAAAATGTTAGTGACATAGAAGTTGTTTATTTACTTGTGTAATTTTAGTTCATTAAACAGGTTCATACTCTACTGCTGTTGTTGTCTGATGCTATCAAGCTGACAACTACTTGGAAGCAACTTTATGAACCTTGCCCGGTGCTGCTCCATTCCCACCATCTCTCATATCCCAGAGCCCAGTGCTACGGTCACTGTGTCAGTTCATCTTGTGGGAGGTCTTCTTTTTTCTCTGACCCTCCACTTTCCCAGTTGGATGCCTTTTTCCAAAGAATGTCTTCTCTTGACAAGTATGTGAGAAGTTTGTTCATCCTTTCTTCTAAGAACCACCCTGCTTGCAGTTCTTCCATGACCGACTTATTTGTTCTTTTGGAGTCAGCACTCATCCCCAACACCATAACCTGAAGGCTCAAATCCTTCTTTTGTCATATTTATTGATTGTCCAACTTTCAAATGCACAGCAAGTAACTGAAAAGACCATGACTTAGACAGACATACTCTTTAAACTGACAAAATTTTTATAGGTGGATTTTTATTGATCTGCAAACAATCATTCATATATTTTGTATCTTATATCACTAATTATTATTAATCTGTACTTATTTCCTCCTCTTCTCTTCAAGCCCTCATGGTCCCCTTTACTATTTCTCCCCTCCACCCACTAACCTCAGCTATCCTAGTGACATTCCTCTCTTCTTCTGTCCTATTTTCCCTTCTCTTTCTCTCCAATTTTGAACATATATCTTGCTCAGTGAAAATAGGAGGATAAATGAACAGGAGGAAATCAATAAACTGACACCATTTTTCTTTGGAGAAGTACTTGACAGCAGATGTTCCAATATTTCTTTTGATACCTGATATGACTGTAAATGATTAGACAAGTGATGTTTGCCAAGTATTGTAGATTCCTGTCACGTGCATGGTGAGAATCTTTGTTTTCTTGATGTTGAGTTTCAATTCATATTGAAAGCTGCAGTCCTTGACCTTCTGTAGCAAATGCCTTAGGTCCTCCTCAGTTTCAGGAAGCAAGTTGTGTCATCTACATAATGCAAGTTGTTGGTGAGTCTTCCTCCAATCCTGATACCACATAACTTCCCATAAAGCCCAACCTCTCAGATGACCTTTTCTGATATAGACTGTAAAAGTGGGGAGATAGGAATGATCCCTTGTAAACACCTTTTCTGATTTTGAACCATACAGTGTTTTCTGGCTCTGTTCTCATAACTGTCTCCTGGTCCAAGCATAGATTTCACATAACTACAATCAAGTGGTCACTTTGTCCCAGTTGCCTTGGGTTTAAGGCCGCCTCCTGGTTCAAACCCTAGGCCCAGGCTGGCTAGCCTCACTCCAGGGACAGAGCAAACCTGCACGTCAAACACATTCCCAGAAAAGCAAGTGTTCTGGGATTCTAATTTTTCTCAGAGTTAGCCATAGTTTGTTGTGACCCACAAAGTCAAATGCCTTTGCACAGTCAATGAAACAGAGACAGACAATCCGCTGGTACTCTCTGCCTTCAGCTAGGAGCCATCTAACACTGGCTATAATACACCTAGCAACACAGTCTCTACTAAATCCAGACTGCACATCTGGCAACTCCCCGCTGATGTACTGTTTCAATAATTTTTTTATAATTTTCAGCAGAATCTTTGCTTTCATGTGGTATTAATGATATTGTTCAATAATTTCTACACTCTGTTAAGTTACATTTTTTTGGAATGGGCATAAATATCGATCTCTCTAGTCAGTTACCCGGATAGTTGTCCTCCTGATTTCTGGGCACAACTTGATACGCATATCAGGGTAGCATCTGTTTCTTGAAATATGTCAATAGGTATGCCATCAATTCTTGGGGCTTGTTTTTTGACAGTTCCTTTAGAGGGCATGAACTTCCTTCTTCACCACCATAGGTTCTTGATAGTATGTTGATTCATGAAATTCTTTTTGTCAGCCAATTTTTTTTTTTGCATAGTAACTCTGTGTACTCCTCCTATCTTCTTTTGATTTTTTTCCTGGGTTATTCAATATTCTGCCTACATCATCTTTAAATATTGCAACTCACTGCTTGAAGTTGTTCTTCAGTTCCTTTCATTTTGAAAATTGGCAACATCATGCTATATGCTGAAGAGATTGAGACTGTTAACAGGTTCAGCTTGGTTGGCTCCTCAATCAACATCCTTGATAACAAAAGGCAGGAAATCAAAAGACAAATTGCACTGGGAAAATGTCCTGTCACTGACCTCACTAGATTATTGAGGAGAAATGATGTCAGTCTAGAGACTAAGATGTACCTGATCCAGTTCATGGTCTTTGCACTTACTTGCTATGCATCAAAGAGCTGGACAATGACAAAGGATGACAGAATAATTGATGCCTTTGAGGTGTGTTGCTGCAAAAGAGAACTGGCTACAGTGGGCTGTGAAGAGAATAGGTTCATCCTAGAGAGGGCGAAACCAGGCTGCTCCTTGGAGGCAAGAATTTTGAAGCTCTGACATACTTTGGGCATGTTGTAAGGAAGACCAGCCCTTGGAGAAGGGGTTCCTCCTCGGGAGTGTAGAGTGACAGTGCAGGATAGAAAGACCCTTGATGAGATGGATTGATTCAGTGACGGCGGAGAGAAGGGTGTATGTGTCAGAGACAGTAAGATTGGCACAGGAGAGAGCAGTTTTCAGGGCTGTTGTACATATTGTTGTTGAGTCACAGGGGACTTGATGACACATAACCATGACACCATGTGAATGGATCAACAATAATCCTTATGAGGTAATTTTTAAATTACATTATGTTGAATGGTTAAGAAAATAAGTAGACCCTTTTCTTTATTGCTTCTCTTAATATCAGTGAGTGAACTCATAATGACCTGAACATGAGGCTAAAACCTTATCCTGCATCATCACAATCTCCACTGTGACAAGTCCACTGTTGATGTCACTGTGTCAGGTCATCTTGTTAAAGGTCTTTCTTATTCTCACTCTCCTCCATTCCACATATAACATCGTTTTCTGAGAATTGTCTCCACTTCAAACATGATCAAAGTATATGAGATGAAGGCTCATTATTCTTCCTTCCAAGGAGCACTCTGGATACACTTCCTCCAAGAGAGTTTTGTTTGTTTTATGGGAAATATCCATGGGATACTTGATATGCTTCCCCAATACAACAATTGAAAGACATTATGTCTTTAATCTTCCTTATTACTGTCTCTCTTACACACGCTTATGAAAAAATGGAAAATTCCATGGCTTGAATCAGGCACACCTTAGTATTTAAACTGACATCCTTGTACTTCAGCACTTTCAAGAGGTTGTTTCACTCAGCAGAACATCTTTTGATTTTGAGTACAGTTATTTTGAGTGTTGATTGTTATGATTTTTGGGTACTAACAATCAGCCTAAAGAGAAAAAAAGTGTCCACCAAAGATGAAATAGAAACAATTAAATGAAGTTAGAAAATATTAAATATTATTTTATCAAATGAAGATAGGAATCATCATTGCTCATAGTGAATGAGAAAATGAAAAGAAATATTGCAGTAACACAAGGAGAAGTCATTTCAGATATGTTGAATAGCATATACAGAGTTTTGTGGTGGAAAAGAGATAAGGTAGGTGGAAGGGAAAAGCCTCAGTTGACTATAACCAGAAATTAATTAGAACAGTCACACAATTGGAATTTTTTGTCTGTCAGATACCCTTAAGCATGGAAAGTTTTATATTTGGTCAAGTAGATATGGTGTTCAAAACAGGAATAAAAATGCCAATAATTGCAAGGGAAATTATCATGAGGATTGTTTAGAATTATCTGCCTGACAAGAATAGAAGTCAAGATCAATTAGAAGATTGTTTATTTATTTATGCTCAGTTTCAATGTGACTGTGGGTAGCCACTCAGTCAATCCATCATGTTGAGGCCTTCCTCTTTTTAAAAAATCTTCTTTTTGTCAAGTATGATATCTTTCTCAAGAGACACTCCTTCCTGATAACTTGCCTAAAGTGAGAAAAAAAATCTCACCTTCTTGCTACCAAGAAACATACTAATTGTAGTTGTTACTGTTTGTTCTTAGGTGTCATTGAGTATGACCCATAGTGACCCAATGAACAAAAGATCTGAACCCTATTGTATCCTGTGCTATCTTCCCACTTTCCAACACTTAAGAGCCTATTGTGGTAGTCACCATGTTAATCCACCTGGTTGAGGGTCTTCTTCTCCTTCACCGACCCGCCACACTTTACAGTCTCATGTCCGTCTCCAAAGAGTAGCCCCTCCTAGAAACATGCCTTAAGTATGTGAGGTAAAGCCTCATCATTTTCGCCTCCAAAGAGCACTTCAGCTAAAAACTCTCCAAGAAATCCCTGTTTGTTCTCTTGGCCATCCTTGGGATGTTCAGATCTCTTCTCCAACACCAGCGCTCAAAGGTGTCAATTCTGTTTTTTGTCACCCTTATTCACTGTCCAGCTCTCAGATGTATAAGTGATCAGAAAGACTATGGCCTGAATCAGACACACGTTAGTCCTCACACTGACATCATTGTTGTTTTGTTTTTGTTATGTGCTGTTGAGTCACTTGCAACTCATAACGACCCTTTGTACAGCAACCTTAAACCCTGTTCTATACTGTGCCAATCTCACGGCCTCTGACACACCCATCCCGACTACCCCAGTCACTGAATCAATCCACCTCATAGAGGGTCTTCGCCTTCTGCGCCATCCCTCCACCCTCCCAAGCATGATATCCCTCTCCAAGGACCTCTCCCTCCTTACAACATATCCAAAGTATGTCAGACTAAGCCTCAGAATCTGTGCCTCCAAGGAGCAGCTTGGTTTAACCCTTTCTACGATGAATCTGTTGTTTTCTTGGCAGTCCAGGGTGCATCCAATACTCTTCTCCAGCACCACAGCTCAAAGGCGTCAATTCTCCTTCTATCCTCCTTAGTCATTGTCCAACTCCCTGAGGCATAACAAGTGATTGCAAAGACCATAGCCTGTATCAGACGCACCTTCGTCTCCAGAGTGACACCATTGTTCTTCAGTATTCTGGAGAGGTCCCTAATAGCAAACTTTCCTATCACAATACGTTTTTTGATTTCCTGGCTACTGGTGCCAAGAGTGTTGACCTCGGAGCCAAGCATACTAAAGTTGTTAACAATCTCAGTCACTTCACCATCCATCCTGATGCTGCGAATTGGTCCAGTGGTGAGAATTTTAGTCTTATTGACATTGAGCTTCAATCCATACTGAAGGCTGCAGTCCTTGACCCTCTGCAGCAAGCATTTCAGGTCCTCCTCAGTTTCAGCAAGCAGGGTTATGTCATCTGCATAACACAGATTGTTAATAGATCATCCACTAATCCTGACGCCACACTTCTCCTCATATAGCCCAGCCTCCCAGATAATCTGTTACTCCTCAATAACTGCAGGTTTTCCTAGAGCAATCCTTCACATTATTTCGTGATTGCTGGTACCAAGGCTCTTAATTGTGGGTCCAAGCAAGATGAAGCTGTTGACAGTTTTAGTCTCCTTTCCATCAATCATGATGTTGCCTCTAAGTTTTATTGCAAGAAAGATTTATTTGTTCTTTTGATAGTCCATGATACATTCAGTACTCACCAACTCTGCAACCTAAAGACATCTATTCTACTTTGGTCTTCTTTATTCATTGTCCAAATTTCACAATAATATGAGAAGACCGAAAAATACCATGCCTTGAGACAGGTACAAGTTAGCCTTCAAAGTGACATCCTTTCTCTTTAACACTTTCAAAATGTCTTTGAATAATATTTGCCATTTCAATCTGTCACTTCATTTCTTAACTACTGTTTCCATGGACATTAATTGTGACTCAAAGTAAAATTATATCCTTGACAATTTCAGTCTCCTGTGTATCATGAGGTTGTTAAATGACAAACATTTGAGGATTTTTATTATTGATTTTCAGATATATTTCATACTGAAGCCTATAGTATTTGAGCTTCACAATTTAGTGCTTCTTCACTAAGTTCTTTTCTGCAAGAAAGGATGTATCATCTGCATCTCAGAGACTGTTAATGAGTCTCTCTTCAATTCTGGTAGCACATTGTTCCTCATATAGTTGATATCCTCATATTTGCTTAACATGCATAGCAATAAGTATGAAGATGTAGATGTTATCATCTGGCATGCTGAAAATGAAGAAGATTTGAAATCTTTACCGTGAAACACTTACTGATAAAACATTTCTGTTCAGAGTACAACTCAACATAACAAAAGCAAAAATCCTATACTTTAAACAATAGATGATATCATAACAAATGAAGGAAAAGTTACAGTTGTCAAGTATTTCTCTTTACTTGGATTCACAATCAATGCACATGGAAGCAGTAATGAAGAAATAAAAGTATGCATATTTTTCCCCTTTATGTATTGGGCATGATATATAACCCATTGGCAAAAATCCTGTGGCATAACCTATGTAGGATGAAAAATGGAAATTTTACACATGAAAAGGAAAAGAGGTTGTTTTTGCGGTCTAACCCATAGCTGACCCTCCAGTGTATTTTCAAAGGTAGTAAATCACACATGAGTGGATTATCTGTCTTTCTGTCATGGAACAGCTCATGGATTTGAACCACGAGCCTTTGATTCAAAGGTGCAAAAGGATGGGAAATGGAAATTTTACACAGGTAAAGGAAGGTAGGTAGGAAATTGTATTGAGGTCATCTAATATCCAGTGTCTGCCATATCATAAAGAATTTTAAAAAAAGAAAAGTAATTTCTGAATTTGCTTAACTTTGTAACAGTGCATTCTTTTGAATTGATTGCAAATAAATAAACTAGAAAATTACTATGTCAAACTATCACCTAATATTCCTAGGAAAAGCACAATAAACAGACTGAATTTACTACTGAGAACTTGTTAATAACTACAACTGACCTGTTCGGAGCTGGGACAGAGACAACAAGCACCACCCTGAGATATGGACTCCTACTTCTGCTGAAGCACCCTGAGGTCAGAGGTATGAGCACAAATGATGGACTTCAGAAAGAGGAACTTCAGAAAGAGAGATGGTATAGAAGTGCTAGAATTTTCTACCTTATTTCTCTTAAACAAACCTCATTATTTAAATAATTAAGGTACTTGATATGATGAGTGTGAGTTTGATACAGACATAAAAAAAAAGGACAACTTTGCACAGAAGAAGAAGGGGGTTGAGATGGGAAAGAAAGCATGGGCAGAGCAAGATTATAAAGATTCGTGAGGGTGATGAGGTTATGTTGTGGTTTGATGCTGTTGTGCTGACTACTATAGATTGTGACCTAATGCAAACCAAACTGACACCTTATCCTACCTTACGCCATCCTCACACTCTCCACCAGGCTGAGTCACCCTGTTGTAGTTCACTGGTCAAAGCATCAAGTTTAGAGTCTTCCTTTCTTTCACTCACTCCCCACCTTTCCAAGCATTCTGATGTCTTTTCCACAGACTGCCACGTGTTGGTCATATGCCCAAAATATATGAGATGAGTTTCACCATCATTGCATCCAAAAAGCTTACTGGTTGCACTTTCTCCAAAATAATTTTGTGCTTTTGTCAGTATGTGGAATGTTCAATACTCTTAGCCAACACCACATTTCAAAGACATGAAATCTTCTTTAGTTTCCTAATTCATTGTCTACAATTTGTATGAGAAGTAATGGACAAGATCATGGCTTGTTGTTACGTGGGAAGGGATCTTTACCAGGAAAGTTTTAAGAAGTTCGCTTGTTATATGCCATTGATTCAGAATCAAGTCATAGCTGATCATCCAGAAGGTTTGAAGAGACAATAAATCAGACAGAAGGAGATTGTCCATCTTTGTCCTCCAGAGCAGCTAGTGGATTTGAAACATGTGCCTTTGGATTGAGAGTACAGATCCTTACTCACTAAGCCATCAGAATCCTCTGGCGGGCACTGTTGTTGCATGTGCCACTGAGTCGCTTGTTACTCTTAGTAAGCCTGTATAAAACACCTCTGAAGGTTACGCTGTCCTGAGCCATCTCGTCGACACAAATACACCTACCCTCATTGCCCCAGTTACTGTATCAATCAATCTCATCCTGGGACCTCCTTTCTTGCACTGTCTCTCCACTCTTCCAAGCATGATGTCCTTCTCCAAGGACTGGCCTATCCTGGCTACGTACCCAAAGTATGAGAAATAAAGATTCAAAATCCTAGCTGCCAAGGAGAAATGTTTCACCCTCTCCAAGACAGACTTATTTGGTTTTTTTGATGGTATGTTCAAGACTTTTCTCTACCACCACAACTCATAGCATCATTTTTTCCCCCATCATCCTTAGTCATTGTCCAGCTCTCTGATACATAGTAAGTAGTTGCAAAGATTGTGCCTGGATCAGGAACATCTTAGTCTCTAGACTGACATCATTGCTTCTCTGTACTCTGGAGAGGTTCCTGACAGCAGATTTTCCCAGTGCAATTTGTCTTTTGATGTCTGACTACTGGTGCCAAGAGTGTTGATGTGAAGCTGAGCAAGCTATGATTGTTAACAACCTCAATCTCTTATCCATCTATTATCATTGTGCCAGTTTGTCCTGTGATGTAAATCTTTCTCTTCATGATGTTGAGCTTCAATCCTTATTCAAGACTACAGTCCTTGGCCTTCTACAGAAAGCACTTCAGGTCTTCCTCCGTTTCAGCAAAAAAATGTTTTGTCATCTGTAAGTTATTGATGTGTCTTCCTCCAGTCATGATACCCTATTCCTCCTCATGAAGTCCAACTTCCCAAATTATCTGTTCTACATGTAGACTGAAAAGTTATGGTGACTGGATGAATCCTTGACACAATAGTTTCCTTGTTTTGAATCATGTAGTCAGTGTTTCCTTTCTCTGTTCTGAGTACTGCTTTCGGGTCTGAGTACATGTTCCACATGAGCACAAACAAGTTTTCTGTTATTCTCATTCTCCTCAAGGTTAGCCACAATTTGTTGTGGCCTTTACATAGTAATGATACACGGACATTCCTCTGGTACACTTTGCTTTCAGCAAAGATCCATCTGACATTGGAGATAATGCCTCTAGTGCCACAACCTCTTCTACATCCAACTTGTATTTATAATAGTTCTCTGTCGATATGCTATATATTCTGTATACTCCTTCCATTTTCTTTTAACACTTCCTGGATCATTCAATATTCTGCCCATAACATCCTTAACCTCTGCAACTCTTCACTAGAATTTGTTCTTTTGATCCTTCAGCTTAAGAAATGCCAAGCAAATTCGTCCCTTTTGAGTTTCAGTCTCCAGCGCCTTTCACATTGCAGTAGAATGCTTTGCTTTGTCTTCCTGATCTGCGCTTTGAAATCTTCTATTCAGCTTCTTGACTTCTTGATTTCTTCCCTTTGCTTTGGCTTCTGGGAACTCTTGTGCAATATTCAGAGTCTCTTCTGACATCCATTTTGGTCTTTTCTTTTTCCTCTACCTTTGTAATGACCTTCTACATGACACCTTTGTTGTGTTCATGACTGTCAAGTTTAGCATGACTCATAGTAACCCTATGAAGAAAAGACCTGAAGCTTTTCTAAAACTATCATTGTTTCTCAAAGTTTATATAGTTTCTTGACGCATGATGTTTAAGAAGTGGGTGGCACTCCTGCTTCCAATTGCATGACACTAGGCCTACAAAATAAGCAATTTACAATAGATAGGGTTGATGAAAACAGAATGAGTGAAGGATATGAAGAAAACTAGGAAAGTGATAGATTATCTCTGATTTCCCTATAATTCAAAAGTTAAAAACGGGTTACTTGTGAGTCAAAACTGACTCCTGCTTTCCAAGGCTATAAATCATTTGGGAGGGGATTGTTTATCTTTCTCCTGCTTCATGTAATGGTGTTAAAATAAAAAAAAAAGTAATAATTTTCAAATTGTCATCAGTTCTTACTTATGACTTACTAGATAAAGTCCAGAAAGAGATTCACCAAGTGATTGGCAGTCACCGAGACCCCTGCATGCAAGATAGGGCCAATATGCCTTACACAGATGCTGTGGTGCATGAGATCCAGAGATACATTGACCTTCTCCCAACCAACATGCTTCATTCAGTGACTCGTGATGTTAACTTCAGAAATTACCACATTCCCAAGGTAATCTTTTTTTCTAAAGTAGAGCTCAGTGCATACATGGTATTTTGCCAGTCTTCTACTAGAACAGGATCAGAAAAATCAAAAGGACATTGAATAGTATGTGCAGCTTGATTAATTTTCTGTTCTTTCCAGTTTAGAACTCGAAAGATTTAGAACAGATCTTGACATATAGCAATGTTAAGTCTTCAAAATTTGCTATTTTTCTTTATGCTTCTTTTAGATGAGCTTAGCTTTTTGTATTTCCAAACAAATTCTAATATCACACTAAAAAGTTGGAGAAAAATTAAGACAGTCAAGTGCAACAGGTCCACAAGGGAATGGAGGAATTCACATGCATGCTGAAGCCAAGAAGCCTACTGTGAAACTTCCTGAGAAGACACTATGCTTTCACTTTGGACTGATTGCTAAGCTCAGTGTAAGACTGGCTAGGTAGTGAAGGAGAACACCATAGAATCATTTTTCAATGTCTGAAATGAGTTTTCATTTCTTTTCCATAGCACTTAGAACATTCTTTTCAAAACTATCTTAACTCCACATACATTGAATAAGGCAATCTTAGCAAAAAGAGGAAAATATACTATAAACAAAAAACTATCACTTTCAACAATTTATTAAAAAATTAAAACAAAGAACAAGCCCCAGGGTCACTCACTTTATTTGTGTCTGTTTATTGCAGGGTACGGCCATATTAACTTCACTGACTTCTGTGCTTCACAGTGAAAAAGAATTTCCCAATCCAAAGACATTTGACCCTGGCCACTTTCTGGACAAAAGTGGCAACTTTAGGAAGAGTGATTATTTCATGGCTTTCTCAGCAGGTAATAGAAAATTACATCTATCTGTAAAATATCTGTAATTCCTATCAAGGAATAGGGCATAAAGATAAGAGCATTTGAGACTTGCCTGCTCTGTATCTAGTACAATTGTTCTTTCTACATGATCACAAGCATCACTCCAAATGTTTATGCATTTTCCCATCAATCATACATCTTCATTACTGGGTCACAGAAATGGTCTTTTGTGGATGTGTAAAACACCAAGGGCCATTCGGAGATGGCTATATCATATCTGTTGTTGTTTTTGTTTTCATGTGACGTTGAGTCGCTTGTGACTCTTAGTGACGCTATAAACAACACACCTAAACCCTGCTCTGTCCTGTGCCAATCGCACTGTCTCCAACACACCCATCCTAATTACCCCAGTCACTGAATCTGTCCACCTCATAGAGGGTCTTCCTCTCCTGCATGGTCCCTCCACCGTCTCAAGCATGATGTCCCTCTCTAAGGACGGGTCCCTCCTTGGAACATGTCCAACATCTACGAACTCCATAATGAGGAACTGTCCCTGTCAACAGCACCCACAATACAAAACCAATTTCTGTGAGGTCAGACATGTTCCTCAGAGTCCCTCACCTCTTTCTACTTTCGAATACCAATATTACTACTTTACTGAGTCTCAAATCCATCACAATAGCTCACAGTACACACAGAACCATATTAGGGAATTCAAAGGTTTTAGTTCATGTTGGTAACAGATACAATGACTCAGAGAAGACAACTTCCAATGTGTTCATATGCACCTCAGCCTTGTGGCTTTGGGCTCTTTGTCTTGCCAATTATGACTCCCAAGCCCCACCCCAATCCTCCAACAAACTTGGGCTCTTAGCTCGGGTTCCATGGGGTAGCAGGTCTAATGTCAGCTCTACCTCAAGTCCTGTCTCTGGTTATCTACTGTGGCCACAGCTGTTTCTGCTGTTGTGGGTCTAGCTGGCCAAGAATCTCTAGCCCTAAAGGGCATATTATTTCTCTTGCTTGTTTTCTGCTAGTGGTGAGATTCTTAAATTCTGTTGCTCGATTAGGTCAATTAAATGACAAGACTAATCAATCTCCTGGTGTATAGGCTAACACTATTTACTGTCAAATTCCTGCTCATCCAATAACTAAGTCCAATGCCATCGCTGGGGAATGCCATTTTGAACAATAAACCATAACATTTCAGACTACCCACATCCTTGCTTTGCTAGCCATTAACCTTCATATTTGAACAATTAATTTAGTCCTTTCAATATGCAATAACTATAACTGTGAGTGTATAAGTCAGCAACTTCATGTCTCATGCTTTAATCCCCACATTTTAGATAGCCAGCTTCTAATTTGCCCATGTCTATTACTACAAGGAGAGGAAAAATAAAACACCAAATTGGATATTGGAAGAGACTCTGAAAAATTGAGTATAACCTCAAGAAGCCAAAACTAAAGGAAGAGATAGATGTTGCAGTTAAAGAGGAGGTGAACATAACATTTCAAAAGGCAACACAAGAAGATGAAGAAAACTATTCTAATACAATATGCAGAAACATTGGAAGCACTATGATAGATGATGGAGAGATTGAATTTTTTAACTTTAGTTTGCTTGGCTCCACAATCAACACTCTTGGTACTAGCATCCAGGAAATCAAGAGATGAACTGCATTGAGAAAGCTGGCTATTAGAGACCTCTCCCAAGTGCAGAAGAGCTACAACATCATTCTACAGACCAAGGTGCCCCTGACCCAGGTCTTGGTATTCACAATTGTTGGTTATGAGTCAGAGAGTTGGACAATGAATAGGGATAAGAGAAAGAGAATTGATGCTTTTGAGCTACGGTGCTGGAGAAAAATGTTGACTATATCATGGACTGCCAGGAGAGCAGGTGAAAACAGGCTGCTCCTTGAAGACAAGGATTATAAGGTTTCTTCTGACATACTTTGGGTGTGTTGCAAGAAGTGACCAGTCCTTGGAGATGGACATTATACTGGGAAGGGTGGAGGGACAGAGAAAGAGAGGAAGACCATTGATGAGATGGATTGATTCAGTGACTGTGGTCATGAGGGTAGGTGTGTCAGACACAGTAAAGCTTGACACAGGATAGAGCAAATTTCAGGGCTATTGTACATAGAGTCACTATGAGCTGTAAATGACTCAACAGCACATTACAGCAACAACATGCAGAATCATAGAATAGGGGAATAACAACATAAAGAGTCTTCCAAGTATCCTGAAAAATCTACAACCAGGAGAAGATAAAATAGATGAATGGGACTTTCTAAGAATCAAATCCCTATGCATATCCAAAAACTTCTCCAACAGGGTAAAAAGGGAAGCCACAGACTGGGAAAAAGTGCTTGGTAATGACATATCAGATAAGGGACTTATATCTAGAATTTATAAAATACTTGTGCACCACAACACGATAAAGGTAAATAATCCAATTAAAAAATGGGCACAGGGTATGAATAGACACTTCACCAAAGACGGCATTCAGATGGCCAACAAGCACATGAAATATCATTTGATCTAGCAGTTCCACTATTGGAAATACACCCTAAAGAAACCAGAACTGCCACCCAAGCAGATAGATGCATACCATGTTTTTTGCTTTTTTGTTCACAATAGCAAAAGGTTGGGAACAACCCTAGTACCCATCAACAAACGAATGGATAGAGAACCTGTGGTATATTCACACAATTGAATACTATGCTGCATTCAAAAATAAGGAACTCATGAACTATTATACAAAATGGGTGACCCTGGAGGACATTATGCTCAGTGAAATATCTCAGTCACAAAGGAACAAATGCTACGTAATACCACTCTTATAAAGCAGAACTGACATAGGGGTAGGGAGAAATGTGGAAAAGAGGGAATAAATAGTACATATTAAATTGAACAGATGAGGGAAAGAGATGTTTGAAAAGAATATATGATTAGGTACTATTTTCATGACAGGAGTCCAGAAGGAGAGCTGCATGATGATGTAGACTAGGGGGGAAGGGATTGTAAAATAATGAAAGAATTTTTTTTTTTTTTTACTTTTCAAGGAGAAAAACCTACTGGGTTGAGGGGTGGATACGGAGGAAAATGTGCATCAATGAAGGAATGGAAATCCAAAGATTCTATAAATATTAATTAAAATTTCAATTAAAAATGTTTTAAATTTTTTTTTTTTAAAGAAAAGAAAATGCCAAGGCTAGAATCAAGCACAGACAGTCTTCACACTGACATTCTTGATCTTTAGAACCTTGGTTAAATAAGTCACTGATAGCAAATTTTCCAGTGCAACTCATCTTTTAATATTTTTTTTTCTTGTATGCTGTTGAATCCAACTGGCACAGGAGGACATTTAACCTCTTACTTCAGCAGAGCATCTGGTGGATTCAAACCGCCTGCCTTTCATACTGCAGAGAAGCTTCTTGCCATTAGGCCACCAGAGCTCTCTGGTACCTTATAATTTCTTGATTGCTACTACCATGGCTTGTTGTTGTGTACCCTTGAGTCAGAAGTGACCCATAATTGACACTCCAGGGGGGTATTCAGAAGGAATCAGAAATTTTAAAGAGTTGAACAGAAGATTTCAAAGAGCAGCGCAGGAGGACAAAGCAAAGTAGTTCATGAAATGTGCAAAGAGCTACAGTTAGAAAATTAAAATGAGCGAACTTACTCATCATTTGTTAAGCTGAAGAACAAATTCAAGCCATGAGTTTCCATATCTAAGGATGCTATAGGAAGAATGTTGAATAATCCAGGAAGCATCAAAAGAAGACGTGAAGGGTACAGAGTCACTGTACAAAAACTAATTGACTATCACAGAAAAATTTCATGAAACATATGACCAAGAGACAATGGTGATGAAGAGGAAGTTGAAGCTGCTCTGAAGGAATAAGCAAAAAACAAGGCCCCAGGAATTGAATACCAGTTGATATATTTCAACAGATGTAGTCCTGGAAGTGCTCACCAGTCTGAGCCTGGCGATCTGGAGGACAATCACCTGGCCAGCTGACAGGAAACATTCATATTTAAACTATTTTTTTTTAAAAAAAAAGGTCATCTAAGGAGTGTGAAAATTATCAAATGATATCATTGATATCACATGCAAGCAAAATCCTGCTGAAGATTATCCAAAAGTGACTGGAACAGTACATCAACAGAGAACTACTAAGAAATATTAGCTAGGTTTAGAAGGATTCATGCCACTAGGTACTTTAGCCAATGTTATATGGATATTAGCTGAAAGCAGAGAATACCTCAGGAATTTATATTTCATTGTCTGTTTAAAGGGATTTGACTGCATGGATTACAACCAATTGTGGCTAACCTTGAGAAGAATGGGAATCCTAAAACATCTGATTGTGCTCAGGCAAAACCTATAGTTGGACCAGGAAACAGTCATCAGAAAAGAGCTAGAAAACACTGCATGCTTTAAAATCAGAAAAGGAGTGCATCAGGGATGTGGCTTACCTTCAAACCTTATCAATCTGTGTGAAGAACACATGATTTGGGAGGCTGGACTCTATGTGGAAAAATTTGGCATCACAATTGAAGGAACACTCATCAACAATCTGCGTTTTGCAGATGATGCAACCTTACTTGCTGAACCTGAAGAGGACCTGATGCATTTTCTGTAGAGGATCAAAGACTGTACTCTACAATATGTACTGAATCTAAAAATCAAGAAAACAAAGAGTCTCATCATGACAGATGGAAAAGAGATCAAGATTTTCAGCAATTTCATCTTGGTCAGTTCCGCAATCAACACTTTTGATACTAGCAGCCTGGAAATCGAAAGACTAAGTGCTTTAGGAAATTCTGCTGTCAGAGTCCTCTGCAGAAGGCTGAAGAGCAAGGATTTCAGTATATAGATGAAGGTGCCCCTGATGCTGGCCATGGACTTCACAATTATTTGCTCTACATGAAAGAGCTGGACAATAACCAAGTATGTCAGAAAAAAAAATTGATGCCTTTGAGTTGTGATGCTGGAGAAGAGTATTGAACATATATGATAGATTGTCAAGAGAACTCAGAAGTCTGCCCTGGAGAGGATGAAATCAAGCTGCTCCTTGGAGGCAAGGATTCTGATACTCCTTCTCACACACTTTGAACATGTAGCCAGAAGAGACCAGATTTTGGAGAAAGATATCTTTGGAGAAAAGCCCAGATCAGATGGATTGGGGTAATGAGGGTAGGAATGTCAGAGACAGTGAGACTAGCTCAGAATAGAACAGAGTTCAGAGCTATTGTCCATGGGATTGCTCTGACTTGTAGTGGACTCGACAGCACATAACAACAACAAAAACCAACTGCCTTGGGTGTTGACTGTGGATCCAAGTAAAATGATATTGTTGACAACTTTAATCTTTTCCCCATCTAGCATGGTGTTACTTCTTGGTCAAGTGGTGACTGTTTTTGTTTTCTTGAAGTTGAGATAGAAGTTATTTTGAAGGATGTAGTCTTTGATCTTTTGCAATAAGTGATTCATGTTTTTTCACTATGAATGAATGAAGAAAAATCAATGCTTTGAATTGTGGTGTTGTCAAGAGAATACACTGTGGACTGTGAAAAGAACGAAAAAATCTGTGGGATTTTTTTTTAAATGCAAATGCAGTGCTCCTTAGACGCAAGGCTGCTGAAACGTCATCTCACTTACATTGAGCAATATTTCAGGAGGAACCAGTTCTTAGAGAGACACATGCAGGCCATGAGCAAAATGGAAGGTCCTCAATGCAGTTGATTGATGTAGTAATTACCACAATGATTGGACAATGACTGTGAAGATGGTGCAAGATAGGGCATGGTTCAGATCTGTTGTTCATAGGATCACCAAGAATCAGAGTTCACTTGATGACACTTTACAACAGCAACAATAACCACTGAGTGTTCTTGAGTCTTCTCAGGCACACTGTGTGTGCTGAGTTGTCATTTACTGATTCTACGTGTGGTCTTTTGTGTTTTGTTGGGTCTGGCATTGTAGAAGTCAAGATTTTAAGTATATTCTCTATCCTACAAGTCAATATCATTGGGACAAGCAGTCAGGAGATCAGAAGATATAGTGCATCAGGCAAGTGCACTGTTAGGGACCTCTCCAAATTACTGAGAAGTAATGACATCAGTTTGAAGATTAAGGTGTGCCATGTTTAGGTCATGGTCATTTTCAATCATTTCAATTTTCAGTCATTTGCTGTGCTCTTGAAACTGGACAATGAAAAGGGATCTTCTGTCTTTACTCTTCTTATAAAAGTAATATGAGTGTGTCTAAGAATATATTGATGGAAAATTAAAAGGTCAAAATAGCAAGTCTAAATTCAGAAGATTTAAGTCTTTAACATAAGAATGGTTGTTGTTGGGAGCTGCCTTGGAGTTTGCTCAATTGAAGTCAATCATATGTAAACAGATTGAAACATTGCCAATCCTTTCCCCATTACGTAACTTTTTACTAAGTTTGAACTCATTATAAAAAATGTTATGATAATCTCTTTGAAGATTTTCCTCATTGTCAATTATAGTGATTATACTTTTAAAAAAAGTTTAAGACTATTTGTTAAAAAGAAGGCATTAGGATGATCACAAACATATCCATTCTCTTATCTGCTTCTCCAGTCAACCTGTGTTCCAGCTGCCTATCTATTCAATCACTACTCACCCAATTAATGTATATTCTCTGTGTGTCAGTTAAAAATATAGCACTAAAGGAGTATCTAACCTCTGTGTTTCTTATTTTTAGGCAAACGTAGTTGTTTGGGAGAGGGACTGGCCCGCATGGAGCTGTTTTTATTTCTGACCAGCATTTTACAGAATTTTACCTTGAAGCCTCTGGTTGACCCTAAGGACATTGATGTCACCGCAGTTAACAATGGATTTATATCTGTGCCACCACCCTACCAGCTCTGCTTCATTCCTGTTTGAAGAAAAGATTGTCTATTTCTTCATTTTCATCTAAAAATTCCCTCTTTCATTCACTTCCCTACAAATAAGAGGGGCACTTTTCTATGAGATCTCTTATCCACATCTCTGTATTTCTTCAAGATCTAGAATTATCTGTCATTCTATTCTCCATATTCTGTAATTTTTGTATTGACCACCATATTGACCCTAATAGTTAACTGATTTATTACATTGTCACAATGAAGCAGAACAGAAATTATTAATGTATGACAATTTAAATCCATTTCTATTCTCTGTGTTATTAATTTAAAAAGACTGTCATTGCTGGATTGTTTTTGGACTTTTCTTATTTTGGTCATAATACTAGTGAAAAGGAAATTTAGAGTGGCATGATGGCCATGTTGTGCTTCACAAAGATATGTTCAGAGACAAAGGAGAAAGGCAGAATAGTTTTCTTGACTGAATATCATTTGGAATTATTCAAAGTTTATACGTCAAAGTAAAAATTATTCTTTCACCCATCAAAATATGAATGGATAGAAAGATATGGTATATTCATCTCCACAATGGGATACTACGTAGTACTGAGAAACAAGAAACTCATAAAATATTATACAAAATGGGTGATCCTGGAGGACTTGATGCTGAGTGAAATATCTCAGTCACAAAAGGAAATTTATATTTCCTGCATAATACCAGTGTTGTAAAATCAGGAGTGACATCAGAGTTGAGAGGAATGTAAGAAACAAAGGGCATTATTGTCATGACAGGAGTCCGGAACAAAGAACTGCATAGTAGAGTTGACCTCGGGGGAGGGATTGTAAAACAATATGGGAACTTTTACTTTTCAAAGAGAAGAGTGTATTATGGCGGGGGTGGGGGTGGTGTCAGGGAGAAAAGTGCAAGAATGAATGAATGGAAATCCAAACTCTGTAAATTTTCATTAAAATTAATCAAAAAAATAATTTAAAAAAAAAGAAAAAGGGGATAAATAGTGAACACTGCATTGAACTAGATGAGGGAAAGAACTTGTTCCACTGATACTCTATTCTGGTTTACTTCATTACATGTTTAAATCTGTGAGTTATCTGTGAAATCGTTCTTTGCAATCACAGTGAAACCTCTATGGTGAGGCAAAACCAGTGACCTCTCTCTTCACACACAAATATAAATGTACCAAGGATCACCTGTCATGCTCCACAACACTGTACTTCTCCACTACTCCTGGTCCAATACCCATCAATGACTTTATTTCACCTCATTCAGATTCTAAAGCATAATATCAACCAACTATGTTCCTGCTTAAGAGGTCAAGAGTTCTTAAAATTTTGAGAGCTTACGTTGCCAGCTAGGAAAAGAACATTGATTACTAACTAATGGGAATTTTCAGAGCATCATTTCCTTCTACATTCTGAATCAAGTGACCTCAACTGGCAGATATGACTCATTAGTTACCAATCTCTAAGTAGATAGGAAAATTCATGTTTTGTTAAATTCTTCCATTGGGAAGAATCTAGTCATTTCTCAAAGTAAAATGAAATTCCTGTCCTACGTGCTCTGCCCTCCACATCATAATCTCCTAGGCCCTGCTCAGATACCACTTATTCTATGCAATTTCTTTGACAACACAAAGTTATACAATTTATTCTTTTCTTTTTTTAAAGAACTGTGAGATACATGATCTTATTTTACATTACTGTTTCCTGCAAGACAGTAATATGTGTTTTTTGCTACCTAACAGCAATATTAACAATACTAACAGAGCAGTATTTAGAGCTCTTGGAACATAGGGTTGCTATGAGTTGCAAGCGACTCTATGGCACAAACAACAATAACAATATACATAGTAAAAATAAGCAAAAAAACCCTCACAACATGTTTCTTTTTAAAAGAATATATCTAAATGTGTGTCGTTACTATAACATTAGCTCTAACAAGAAGGGCAGGAGAAGGCAGGAAAGGTGCATCCAGTCTGTGGTTTAAGTGTTCCTTCCTTTCTTTCCCCAGTAGATTCATCGTGGCTTTCTTGGCCTCTTTAGTGATGGTTTCTGCAGTCTCTTTGGCTTTGTCTTTAGATCCTTCATCACACTATCTACCTGGTTCTCATGCTTCAGGAAGAAATGGCAGATGATGAGCTTGTAGAGCCGTGTGGCCCTGTTGGAAGGGCTTGGAGTCATGCACCACAACAAGAAGCCGTACTTCAGCATGTAGTAAAAGGGAAACCATGACCGGAAGAGATCCAAGAAAAATTCAGCAATGCTGAGCACACCGTACACTACCCACTAGGTCAGCCACAGTGTATCATCATGTTTGTTGGGACTCTCTATGGCTTTAATCGAGATGTAGGTTGGGTAGCAAAATCCAGTCAGGTTACAAAGGAGAGAGGCTCCATAACCGAAAATCAGATATAAGGCCACAGAGCCTGATGCCATTCAGTGCGATGCAGCTCGGGTCACGCCGGTCTTGGCCTCGAGCTTGGCCAGTAGGTGGGTCATGCAGTACTTTTCGTGCAGGAACCAGAAAAACCTCTGCCTCGTGGCCACAGATATGGCGAGACTGTGGCACCGCTGCCAGAGGGAGCTGCTAGTGCTGGGTGGACGCAGAGCGGGGCTCACAATTCATCCTTTAATCTCCTTCCTCAACATTATAAAACATATTTCTAGTGTTTTGATAAAAAATACAATACCCAAATTTAAGCCTGTTTTAGCAAAACTGGATCAGACTTTTCACAAATGCCATCCTTGGGTTCCTTTTCTAATTAAATAATGGTCGCTCAGAAATGTTTTCTCTACAATCAAATCAGGATATAGAAAAAATGGACCCTTGGGAAGAGTGTGTTGACACAGATGCTTTGGTATAAAATAGTTGTGGGGAAATTTTTCATTCTTGGTGAGAATGCAAAAACAAAGTCTCAGGAAGAAAGCTCAAGCCAACAGCCAACTCATTGTCTAAATTTCCCAGGCAACCAGGAAGGCACAGCTTGAGCAAGCAGGGTCCGCTTGCTTGGTAGGAGATGGGGAATCTTAACATGGCTGCTTATTACAGGCTCTGGCACCAAGATCTATTTTACATCCAATCAGAATTCTGGAAAGAATGCATTTAAAGTAAACTGCCAGTCCGATTGTAAATTTTTATAACCTGCTTGGACTTACGTAAGCATTTGTATTCAATCTGTGCAAGGTTTTCTCTGTGTCTATCAGCCTTATTATGACCTCAATCATGGCCTACTCAATCAATCTCCCTCTTGTCCCATATTTGTGTCCTTGCTTGGGCCTCTCTCACAAAAACCTTCATATCTTCACTTATGAGCGTGGTGGTTTCCCATTCCAGTGTGTTTCTAATGCTGAATAAACCATCTGAATTGTCACTCTATTGACAACAACAATGTTTAAGACTTGAACACAAAATATTAACTTATAAGTTAACCTTAAAGAAACTGAATGCATTTTAAGCAAAATTAAAAAAAAAGAATATCACAAATACTTGTATACACCAGCAGAATGAAGGAGGTCAGAGAAGAGTCATTGATCTCAAAGCAACAACATAATTGGTCTTTTTTAAAAAAGCCAAGGAATTTGTTTACCCTAAGTAAGGTATGGGAGTTAATAGGTGGCTTTTCCTTTTTGCATGTTATAGAATTCAAGGATCAGGCTTCATTCATGCTTAAAAGGTTACAAAATCAAACTTTTCTGACATCTTATTTCAATAAACTGGTCCTGGTAATTATTAATTCAATTATTGATCCTGGAAGTCATTATGAAAAATCTCATAATTTTGCATCATAATACTCACTCAGTAAATACTGAAGACAGGGTTGATCCGAATACTTCCTTGAAGAAATGCATGTATTTCTCTCACCGAATCCATGGTTTTCAGCTACTCTCCTTTCTTCCCTGTTCCCAACTTCTGCGTTCCAGTTTCCTATTATTATAAATGCATCTTGATAGCATGTTTGATCAATTTCTCATTGCAAAAGTCGGTAGAAATCTTCCATTTCCTACTTTTTGGCACTAATTGTTGGTGCATATATTTAAATGATAGTGGTATTCACTGGACTTCCTTGTATGATATTATCCTGTCACTCATCACACTGAATTTTAGGATGGGTCAAGAAATTACTTTTTTAATTATGAAACCAACCCCATGTTTTCTCACCTTTTCATCCTCAACATAGTAAATCATATGATCATCTGATTAAAAATGTCCCATGCCAAGCCATCTCATTTGGTCAATACCTAATAGGGCAATATTTATATGTTCCATTTCATTCTTAACAATGTCCAATTTTCCTACATTCATGCTTCTCACATTCCATGTTCCAATCACTAGTGTCTGCTTTCCTCCTTCTTTGTGTTTCCATTTCTAGAATCTGAATCACAATTGACATGTCTGTTAGTCCAAGTGCTAGTTTAAGTGTGCCCTAAGTGTATATAGGGTTTTCGAAAGCATGTCATTTTGGAAGAGGATGGACAATCCTTCTTCCTAGTCTGTCTCAATTTGTGTGCTTGTTTGTTGCATGTGTGTGTAGGGATATCTATCTATATCTAGATCTAGATCCAGGTCCAGATCCAGAGATAGAGATAGATCGAGATCAAGATCTAGAGATAGAGATATAGAGATAGAGAGATAGAGAGATATAGAGAAAGAGATAGAGATATATAGATATAGATAGATACATAATAGTATCTGGTAGACAAGTATTTTACAGAGAAGAGCGGATGAAAGACATTGACCCAGTTAGAAAAATGACCAATAGATTCAATGTTGTTGCTCACCCATGCAATATTTTTTTTTATCCACCATTCCCTACTCCACCACCATCCCTTCCTACTTTTGCCTACACCATTCAACACCCCTCTCCCCTTGACCAGACCATGATGTGATGGCCTAAGTCTCAAGCCATTAAGATTTCTGTGATTCTGAACACATCATGCTGCTTTCAATCTCTTATGATACAGCTAATATTACTTCATTTTAAAGTCTCTAAGTACAACTGTCATGTCCAAGTATCAAGGATGGCTCCCCAATGAACATCCTTGGTACCAGCAGTCAAGAGGTCAGACAATATATTGCTGTGTGTTGCAAACTGCATTCCTTTACACAATGCCTGGAAGAAATGACCATAAAGAGACAAACACACATAGAAGACAAAACAGGACTGCAGCAAAGAAAGACACACTCACACAGATGAGACAAAAACTGCAGCCTCAAGGGTCTGCATTGTTTTAATTTTTATAGGGGTATAAGCAATGATCTTATTTTTCATAGAATCATAAAAGGTGGGTACAGAAACAATCGAACAAGGGAGGGTACACAATCTGTTCCTTATGATAGAAGTTGCTTTTCACATGAAAGGAGTTAGGGGACTGAGACAACCAAGATATTCTCTTAGCTGGAAGAGAGACCTCCAAGTTCCCAACCAGTGTGCAGGACAAAGGTTTCTCTTTAATTATTAAACCCAAAAGTTACCCATTTGCAGGTTGAACTTTCAATAAACACCCCCATGTCAGCTGGATTTCCAATAACGGCCTCTGGTCCTCCTCAGCTTTGGGCAAGTCAGCCGTAAAAAATACTGAAGAGCAAAGATCAAAATACTGATGTCACTTTGAAGATCAAGGTGCAACTGATTCAGCTCATGGTCTTTTCAATTACGTGCTATACTTCTGAGAACTGGATCATTGATAAGGAACAGAAGAAGAATTGATGTCTTTGAGTTGTGGTGTTGGAGAAGAGTACTGAATATCCCATAGACTGTCAAAAGAACAAACAGGTATATCTTAGTAAAGGTACAAGCAGAATGCTCCTTGGAAACAAGGATGGAAAACTTTGCCTCTCCTACTTTGGACATGTTGCTAAGAGAGTGGTTCCCTGGAAAGGGATATCGTGCTTGGAACAGTGGAGGAAGAGCCCCACTGTGGTGGATGTACACAGTGACTGCAGCAATGGGATTAAGTATATCAGAGATGATGAAGATAAGACAGGATTCAGGTGCATTGTTCATATGAGTCACTCTGGACTGGACGGCACCTAACAACAACAAAAAAACATACCAAAAGAATGTGTTCACTATCTTTGCTTCTAAGGAGCATTCTGGTTAACGTTTTCTCCAAGACATATGTGTTCTTTTAACAGTCCTTGAGATATTTACGGGATATTCTTCTCTTGCAAGTCAAAAGTATCAGTTCTTCTCCTTAATCATTGTGCAGCTCTCAGACGCATAGCAAGTGATTGAAAAGATGAATACTTGAATAAGGCACAAAGGTATGCCAAATCTAAAGTTGAAAACATTTGCTTCACCCTCTGCTTTAGACTTCATACTGCCCCATGTCGGTCTACTTATGTGTCAAGCTTCCCTGTTATTGACATAATTAGATGAACGTAGTGCAGTACAAAGTGTAAAGTTGAAGGTGAAGCAGACATAAACCGTCTGACAAAATAGCATCCACTCTCCACTACTGAAAACTAAAAGGTTAACTCTTTAGTGTTCTAAACTTAAAACCTCACTGCTGTCAAGTCAATTAATTCTCCCAATGGGTTTTCCAGGCTGCAAATATTTATGAGAGGTGACTTCCCATTTTTCTCCTGAAAAGGATCTGGTGGATATGAACCATCAACATTGCACGTAGCAGATCAACACATAATGCACCTCCCCACTAGAGCTCCTGTGGTGTTGCAAAGGTACATAGAAACCAACACATCTGAAAACCAGGTCAACCTCTGACAAGAGCAATAGATTAATATGGCCTCTCACATAAAGATACTAGCAAAAGGAAAAGTAAAATTGTTTTCTGGTGTAAATAAAATGAACTTCAACAAAGAGTCCAAAAATATGTATGATTACGGGGAAAGGTCATTGACTAAGGAAGTATGTTGTTGTGTGCTTGTCAGGTAGGATCAACTCAACTGACCATCTAGTGGGTTTTCAGAGGTAGTAAATCACACTAAAGAGAGAGTCCATTCTTCTGTAGAGCAGCTGGCGGATTGAAACATCCACCTTTAGAATTGCAACACAGTATCTTACCAATTTCATCAGAGCACAATAAATGATGGCAATTGATTTTGAGACAATTATGTACATGCATAAAAATAGAATTTGTAATAGTTGGGTATAGAGATACTTACCACAATAATGGAAAGGAGGAAAAGTATAGCTGCTGGGACTGCTTGTGTATAAGGAAAACCTCACAAATCACTGTTCTGGCTTTGGAGTTGTGGTTTAGCGAGTCTATTGTTCAAATGGCTTTCCTAAATTCAGATGGCCAACAGACACATGAAGAAATGCTCAAAATCACGGGCAATAAGAAGGATGGAAATAAAAACCACAATGAGATACCATCTCATCCTAATAGCAACAGCAAAGTTTAACAAGGCAGCAAGTAATAAATATTGGAGAGAATGTGGCCAGATAGGTACACTGTTGGTGAGATTGCAAATGGTACAACCACTCTGGAAGGCAGTTTGGCATTTCCTCAAAAAGCTAAACACAGAAATTCCTTGTGAGCGAGCTATTCCACTGTTTGGAATATACTCCAAGAAAATGAGAACTGAGACACAGAGATAAGTTATCGAGTTGCTTGCTTAGTGATAGGAAATTGTGCTTCCAAACCACAGGCTTGTATTTTGAATGTACCCATTGTTTCCCAGGAAGATGTGCAATCAACTCTCATGTACTTTACTTCCTCTGAATACCCTCTGGAGCAATAACTATTGGTTAATTCCTACTGAACAGTACATACCAGCAACAATATGTTCTAATATTATTTATGGTTGCAAGAAAGTGGAAACAACCCAAATACTCAACAAACAAATAGAAAAATGGTAGTATATCACACATGGAATACTATGAAACACTAAAAAACAAGGAAGTATTTATAAAGTATAAACCAAAATGAGAATCTAGAGAGCATTACGTTGAGTGAAATAGCTCAATGAGAAGAAGAAAAACAATGCATAGGACTCTTACTGTGGATAATCATGATGGAGACCAATTTTTTGGTGGTGTTAGTGTAAGTTAGATTCTCCTGTCTCTACACTGTTCTCACTCATTTTACAGAAGCTTATGGTCACAATTCTTTGGGATATCTCAATTAATTGGCCCAATACCCTGTCAATCTTTTGGGTGGTTTTTGTTGCTGTCGTGGTTGCTGTGTAATGTCAAATCAGATCCAACTGGCACAGGAGGAGATTGTCCCTCCTTCTTCAGCAGAGCAAGTGGTGGATTCCAACCACACCTTAGGATTGCAGGCAGCTGCTTGCCACTAGGCCACCAAAGCTCCCTCTGTCAATGCTTTTTGTTCTGTATCCTCGCTTGTATTCTGGAAGGAGAAGATGACAAAACAAAGAAACAAAACACTGGCTGACCTAGAGATAATTGTGACTCATGGTAACCCCGTATTTTACAAATATGTTCAATAAGGTAATGTTGGCTGTCATCTTTACAGAAATAAATTAAAAGATCCTTCTCATGTCAAGCTGCTAAGTGAGTTCAAACCAACAACATTTCTGTTAGTACAATGTAGATTGCTTCATGCTCCAGAAACAAATTAACTACAAAATCAGTTTATCCCTATCTGTGAATCAAAGTCCACTCAGAAGAGACTACAACAGTTTCACCAACTGGTCACTTTTATTCAACAGAATCACAAATTCAGCAGCAGAGAGTATTGTACAAATTCAGAATTGGAAAACAATTGTGCTTGGGTAACAAGAGAAGGCACAATGGATCTGGTCGTGGTCCTGGTGGTCTGTGTCATTTCTCTGCTTCTCCTTTCACTCTGGAAACAGAACCATACGAAAGTGAAGCTCCCACCTGGCCCCACTCCTCTTCCAATCATCGGAAATAGCCTACAGATCAATTTCAAGAATATCAGCCAATCTTTCAGTGATGTAAGTATACCTTACACTTTTCCAGTATGTATGCAGAAGGATGTAGTCACGATTTTCAGAACAATTTCGTTCTTGAAATATAGCACTGCTAAATCATTGTAAAACAAAATAGTCCTTATATGTTATACTGTTTCTAATGTTGCCTTAAGCCTGTCATTTTTAAATATAAGAATGAATGAATACATTTTGAAAGAAGATAAATTAATATTTCTATTAATATGTACATAGGGTTTCTAGGTATGGGTCAGAAGTTACTCAACGGGACATAACGATATAAAATATGCAATTCTTTCTACTTGTTACTGTGTGCTGTCCATGTGTAGTGTCAATTGTGCCCGCTATATTTCTGTGTTGGTAATAACTACGGATCGGAACCAGGGCTAGATAGTGATGATCTAGAGTGATTTTTTAAAAAAAAAAACAACCACCACCATACCTCTAGTATCTATAATTATTATGCTTCATCAAGTATCTACCAGAAAATATTTGCATGTGATCCTGAGTTAGTTGTCTTGGTAATGGTTCAAATGACTGCTTGGGGGCCTAAGCATTAGAGATGGATGCAGGGTTCAAATTTAGAACTTCTATTTAAGCTGTTGGGCACTTGGAATGAAATTCATCTGAAATTCATTTTTTTATGTATAAATGATGGTTAAAAATATGCCAAAAATGCAATAAGAGAGATAAAAATCAAAACCACAAAGTGATACCATCTCACTCCAGGAACAGTGACAAAGTTTAACAGGACAGCAAGTAATAAATGTTGCAGAGGATGTGGAGAGATAAGAACTCTTATACTTTGTTAGTGAGATTGTAAAATGGTACAACTGGAAGGCAGTTTTCATCTTCCCCAAAAAGCTACTATAGGACCCAGCTATCCGTCAATTACTTGTTATGCTTCAGAGAGTGGGACAAGGACTAATGATGACAGAAGAAGATAGATGCCTTTGACTTGTGATGCTGGAAAAGAGTCTTGAACATATGATGGACTATCAAGAAACCAAGTACGTCTGTCTTGGAGAAGGTGAAAACAAGTCTCTCCTTGGAGGCTAGGATTTTGAAGCTCTTCCTCACGTAATTTGGGCACACAGCCCAGAGAGATCAGTCCTTGGAGAAGGAAATCATGCACAGAAGTGTAGACAGACAGTGCAGGAGAGAGACAGTAACTGGAGCGATGGTGGTTGTTGTAACAGAATTAGTGAGACTGCCTCAGGACACGGAAGATTCAGAGCTGCTGCACATAGGCTTCGCACGCAGGCGACTCAACTAGAAACATTCCATAACAGGTTTCGAAGCAGGAATGGCATGCACTTCCTAAACAACACGCCTCTGGACTTGCTATGAACTTTAATAAATGTCGATGGTTGCAGAGAGGCTTTGGTAGGGTCTCTATGAGTCATGCTGGAGTTGAAAGCAATCAACAACAACAACTCCACTGCTTGGAATATACCCTGAGAAAATGAGAATGGAGGCACAAATGAAGATTTGTACACCAATGCTCATTGCAGTGTTATTCACCATTACATGAACATTGAAACAGCCCAGATGTCCAACCAATCATGAATCAACTGAGAAGTAGAGATACATTCATACAATGGAATACTATGCAGCATACAGGAGCAAGGATTTTGTAAATTATTACCTACCTTGGAGGGACTGGAGAGCACTATGTGGAGTGAAAGAATTCAGTTCTACAAGGACAAACATTGTATAAAACCATTACTCTAGAATGAGTATGAAGAGGTAAAGGGGGGTTGGAGTGGAAGCAGAGGGATGAGGATGTGTGGGGTGTGAGGATTAATCATGGGGTTGTACAATTTGATCGAGGGTAGTGAGGGAAATTGGAAGAATCTGGTCTGAAAAACAAAGTATTCAAATTTTGTCAATAAAAAAGTATAAATTTAAAAAATTCCCAATGTATTGGCATAACGATTGATTTCAGTAACGTGAAGACCAAGTGCACAGTTTATTGCCTCGCACATTGAAGTCCCTGGTTGAGTGACAGTTAAAATGTATGAATTCTAACATCCATCCTTAAAAGAAAGTTCCGTCTTCTTCCATATAGATTTATACTCAGCGAAAGCCTGCAGAGAAGGTCTACTCTGTTCAAAGGTCACTATGAGTCTGAATGAACTTGCTAGCAATTGAGTTTTACTTTCAACACTATTTACAAATATGTTCTAGAAAACATTAACTACTATGTTGTTGTTGTTGTGTACCTTAGAGTTGGAACCAAGCCATAGTTGACCCTCTGATAGGTTTTCAGAGGCAGTTAATAGCATAAGAGGAGATGACTAGTACTTCTCCCACAGAGGAACTGGTGAATTTGAACCATGTGCCCTCAGGATTGAGGTACAGCTTCTTGGCAATAGGCCACTGGAGCTCCCTAATTAATATGCAGGGTCATGCTGATACAATTGTATAAAAATACAAAGTGTATGTAGTCTGCTTATACTCTGGTGACCTAGTAGGTAGGGGGTGCACGGGCAACCCAAAGGTAAGAAGTTCAAATCCACCAGTTGCTCCACAGGAGAAAAATGGATCATGTCCTGTACATTTATAGCTCCTGAGCTATGAGTCAGTTCTCACATAACAGCAATGAGAGAGAAAGAAAAAAAACATATGCATAAAATTGAGAATTATTTGAGGTTTGTGCATCAAAATGAAACATTAACCATATAACTTTACCAATGTGAATTTTGCACAATATAATAGAACAAAGACTTACTTCTTTTGCTAAAATTGCATCTCCATTCTTTTTCCCAGTTCTCAGAAACTTATGGCCCTGTGTTCACTCTGTATTTTGGCATGAAACCCACAGTGGTTTTGCATGGCTATGAAGCAGTGAAAGAAGCCTTGTTGGATCAAGAAGAGGACTTTTCTGGAAGAGCCCATGTTCCAGTGTTTGAAAGGACGAATAAAAACCGTGGTATGTGTGTGCAGTACCAATGGCAAGGAGTGCCCTGCAGAGATTGAGGCCCAGCCTCATAATTGTCCAAATGTCCACTTTCTAGCCCAAGATCTCTGTTCTGCTCTCTCTTACCCCTTTTGACAGGAGTCGGTTTCAGCAATGGAAAGACATGGAAAGACATCAGACGCTTCTCTCTCAAGGCTCTGCGGAATTTCGGAATGGGCAAGAGAAGCATTGAGGAACGTGTTCAACAGGAAGCCCGAACTCTCGTTGAGGAACTGAGAAAAACCAATGGTAGGTGATTCTTTATTCAGTATCTCTCACCTTAACAGACCGCTCTCTTTTCTATCAGGAGTTTTAATTTCCCCAAAGCAAATCACTGCAGCAAAAAACCTAGGCCCAGAGACTCTTGGCTTGACTTCCATGAGTCAGAAAACCTAGTTGATTGACATAATCCCAAAAGCACTCACTCCACCCCCATGCTTCCCGAACAAAGGTACTCAGCTTATCATTGTCCATGGCATGGATCCAATTTTGTTCCCCTCAAATATTGTTATATAATGATGTAAATTGAAAACTATGCAATGTACAGCCCATAATCAGATAAACTAAATAGCTGTACAAGGGTTCCAGGTAAAAATCAACTCTTCCTTAAATCCTACCAAAGCTCAAACAGGAGAGCAAAAAGGAGTTTCACTACATGTGGCCTACAACCTTTTCTCTAGAGATGATAGATTTATTCTCTGATAATTCTTTTTACAAATATAGTCAATGTGATCCCTGATCACTCAATAGATGAGGTCCCTGTGGAGAGTTAACACTCGTGGGTTTTTTTATTAAAGATATTTTCAATGAGTAATTAGTTAATTGTATGAAATTCAGTTTCACAATCTCTGGCCTCATTTTTGTTACCAAGTACATAAAGTCCAAACACTAGTCCTTCTTTGCTTCCAACTTTTGCATTCCATTTACTTATTATTATTAAGAATCTTGATTGCATTGTAATTGACTTTAAGCTGCAAAAGTTGGTTGTTATTTTTGTTATGTGCTGTTAAGTCGATTATGACTTCTGCCAACCCTGTGAACGGGGCATCTGAACCATGTCCTGTCCTGTGCCATCCTTACACTTCCTGACACACTAGAGCTGACTGCAGAAGCCACCTTGTCACACCATCTGGTTAAGGTCTTCTCCTTTGCCAACCCTCCACTCTGGCATGTATCATGTCCCTCTTCAAGGAATAGCCTCTCCTAGTAACATGTCTAAAGTAAGTGAGGTAATTAAATTGGTAGAAACCATCAATTTCCTCCTCTTTAGCTTAAGTTATTGAGGCCTATATTTCAATAATACTATTATTGACAGAAGGTCATCTTAGGAGAAAGAAAAAGATCATTACAAAACAGAAATAAAAAATATCAAACTAGATCTAGAAGATCTTTAGCTTTAGCTTCTAGTGCACTGAAAATTGTGCTAGACAGAAGATTTCAAAGGACAAGTCAAGAAGTCAAAGTATAGTATTATAACAAAATGTACACATCACTAGATGTGGAAAATGAAAATAATAAGAATAACTTGCTGGGCATTTCTAAAGCTGGAAGAACTAAAAAATTCAAGTCTCAAGTTGCAATACAGAAGAATGCTATCTTGAATGATGGAGGAAACATTAAAAAAAGATGAATGTAATATCTATTGTCCCTATACCAAAAATATTGGCTGATACAGAAACATTCCAGGAGATAGCATGTGGCCAAGAACCAATAATAATGAATAAAGGACTTAAATCTATACAAAAGGCACTGACAAAAAAAAATAAGGGTTCAAAAATCAATTGGGTACTAAGTGATATGTTTCAGCTAACAGATTTATCCCTGCATATACTCACCAGTCTGTGCCAAAAAATTTGGAAAATAACTACCTGGCCCACTGACTGAAAAAAGATCCATATTTGTTCCCAAACAATATAAATAATAGGACATGTAAATAAAATTTTGCTGAAGATTATTAAAAAGTTACTAGAACAGTACATGGGAAGAGAACTGCCAGACCAGAGATAACATTGCTGAGGTCTGGTGAACTTGGCTAAAATTAAAGGATACCGGAAGGATGTCTATTTATGTTTTATTCACTATGAAAAGACATTTGACGGCGTGGATCGGAACAAATTAGTGTAGCATTGATAATAGTGGGTATCCCAGTACACTTAATTGCACTCATGCAAACCTATGCTGAGAGCAAGAAGCTGTTGCCCAAACAGAGCAAGGGAGCACTGGATGGTTTGAAATCAAGAAAGGTGTACATCCAAACTGGATTCCTTTTTTCCATATTCAATCTGTATGTTGGAAAAATTGTTTGAGAGGCTGGAATTTTTGAAGAACATTGTAGCATGATGATTACAGGAAGACATATCAACAATCTGTATTATGTAGATGACACAACCTTGTTCTCTGAAAGTGAAGAGTACGTAAAACACTTACTGCAGAAAAACAAGGACTACAAACTTCAGTCTAGATTAATATGAAAAATCCTCATCACTGGGCCAACAGCTACATCATAATAGATGGAGAAAAGATTGAAATGGTCAATTCTTTAATTTTACTTGGAGCCACAGTAAACAGAGTTGGTACTAATATGCAAGAAATTAAACCATGAGTCACATTGGGGAAAATCTCCTGTCCAAGACTTCTCCTAAGTGCTATCAGTTTAACGGTTAAGGTGCACCAGATCCAAGCAATGGTGTTTTCATTTACTACATATGCATCTAAAAGTTCGGCAATGACTATTACAATACTCTGGAGACCCAGAAAGTAGGCTGGGATGAGTCTTTGGGCTTTGTGCAGAATTCAAAGCCTTTACAAGAGGGGAACCTTGTAGGCCACTGATCCTCATGTGAGAAGACATTCAGAGACAATTTTTTAGACCCTTCAAGTAGTGAGCATGTTTTGATAGCAGCTTTTCCAGTGGTCTTTGTCTTCATTTTCCACCTTCACTTATGCTGTTTATTCCTACCAAAATGTATTCTTTCTCTCAG